TACTACGGCTGGCATCTGCTTAGTCATGGATCAGGAGTGCAAGGGACAGTGTCTGCACTAGAGACATGGGTAGGGCTTCCTTGAACTGACTTCCTGAAGTGCGGGGTAAGATCTGGGAGGCACAGAATGTTCTAGCCTCACCTCCTGAAAGCTCTTGGTCTTGTTTTCTCCACCCTTCTAATAGCCACCAGTACCTGCCATGTCCGATTTGCTCACTCAGAGCTTGGGACACCTTCCACAGAGTTGTGCGTGCCCCTGCACACGCAGCAGCAAATCCCAGCATGCAGTGCTCCCTGTCCGGACAGTCTCTCATGGAGGACTGAAAGTCTTCCCTAAATCTCAACACCTTCCCTTGCCTGGTCCCTCTCTGTTGGTCACAACCCCTTCGGATTCTCAGACCAGGGAAGTCAGGGAGAGGGGCGCTTTTTGAACAACATTTTTTTAAAGGGGGAAAACAAAGTCAGTAAGCAGGAGAAGGAAAGAAATCTCCTGCTCTTCCCAGAGCACACAAAGGAGGTGGTGGGAGAGGAAAGTCCCAGTTAGAGGAGCTGAGGGTCCCCTCATTGTTCTCCCCCAGGTTGTGATGACAATCCCAGACCCAGGTCACCCATCCCCTTCCCTGCAGCCCCACCCCCTCCTCTTTCCCACCTTAGGTCCCTGAGAAAGATGCCTTGAGGCAGATGTCCCTGGGCTCAGAAGTGGTTCCCACAGGGGGAGGAAGTGTGGGCTCACAAAGGGCTGGCCTTTCCCTGAGGAAGCCATGGCAGTGGGTGTGCGGAGACTGGCCGCCCAAGGATGAGGGACAGGACAGGCTGAGACCCAGGGGACAGCCCCGAAGAGGAGCGGACTCTCCAGGAGGAAAGCGGGCATTGTGAGTATTTGTTTACGAGGGACAGGGGGCCTGACCTTGCCGTTTGTCAACAGGTTGGAGGTTCCCTCCTCCACCACAGTCCCAGGTCCCGTATTGTTATGGAACGGGCCCATTCATAATTTTATTTGGGGGTGGTTGGGTTTTGGCTTTTAGCCCTGCCCCCAACTGGCTCACTTTCAGCATTGTAACCCGGATAAAAGGCAAGATATCCTTCCCCTTTCCGGGAGCCAGCTTCCTATCCGTCCTGTTAACCCTTAGAAGGACAGTAGGGGAAACAGGGGCTCCCCTCCACCGAGCCCCTTCTTTCCGGAATTGACTGCAGATGGTGGAACCGGGTTCTAGGAAGGCCTGAGTTAGAAGTCTTGGGGCATTGTGGATTTAGACAGTAAAAGGCAGACTGCTGAGACTCGATGAGGTGCAGGAGCAGGTGGACCGTGTCAGGCTAAGACAGTGCTCAAAGTGGCTGGTGCCCAGAAGTCCCCAGATCATACACAGGCTTCCAAGGGAGAGGGGAGACCAGTAGAAAGCTGTAGGGGTTGCTAGTATGGAAAAGTCTGGAAGTTACCTAGAAAAGCAGAGCAGATGCGTGGGTGTGGAGGGCAGGCCTAGAGAAAGATGAGGAACTGGGATGGGGACCCCAGAATTACTGGGGCCAATTGTTCTCTGAAACTAATAGACAGGACTAGAAGTGGGAGATGCTGCTGGGAAGCTTGGTTTAGATTACCATGGATGCTCCCCAATGTCAGAGGCAGGTGTGTACCGCAGGAGAGCAGGGACCAGGCCTTGTAGGCTAGGGTGCTGAGGTTTATTTCGAAGGCTATTCAGGCTGCCTAGAGAACCCAGAATTGAGCCAGGACTGGGAGCCTGGGCTCGTCCCATGAGCTCACCATTCACCCCGAGGCCAGCTGCCGTCCTAGAACCTCTGAACAAGCTGCAGGTGGAGAAAGATCTTTCCCCACGGAGGCCTCAGGCTCAGAGGGCTGCTCAGCTCCCCGCTTCTCATTCCCCCTTCACTTCCATGCGCATTCAGAACCGGGTCTTTCCTCAGCCAGTCCCTCACACCACCTACCTCCTCTCCCTGCACCCCTAGATCTATCTAGTTCAGAAAGCCCAAAAGCTTGGCAAGAATTCTGAGTCCCCTAATCACACCCCAGACCCCAAAACCATTTTCTTCTCCTAGTGTTGTCCACCTTCTACCAGCATGCTTCATGTCCCCGAGTCTAGCTGGCTAACGTCATGGCTCACCTGCCCCTGGAGCCACCTCCTGGCGGTCACAAGGTTCCCAGGGGCTCTGGCCACCATTCCGTTTGCTCCACAGACATTTTTACACCCTTTCAGTCATTATTTCTGTCTTTCTCCCATATGGAGACATGGGATAGAAGGGAGTCAAAGGCAAAGCCTGACATGATGCCACCCGTCCGGGGCCATTGCGAGGGGTAGGGAGGGTGACACCCTGCCTTTTCGAAAATCTCAAGCTTCTACCACACCCGCCTCTATGTGGAGAACCTCTGCAGCCCCACTTCTTCCTGTGGTACATCCAGAGTCACCTGTACACAGGGGTGGACTGTCGGATCAGGCCACGGTAACAAAGGCCACGGACGCCAGGCTTGAAGCAGAAACTTGTTTGCTCATGGCCCTGGTCCAGAGTGAGGTGGGAGGTTGCTGAGGACATCTGAGCTGAAGCATCATCAAGAGTGCTCTTTGGAGGCCTCTCTCCTTGCATGGGAGACGGCAGTCTTCCCCCTGTTCCCCATACATTGTCCCTCTGTGCATGTGTCCTCATTATACAGGTGTCCTTCCCTCTGCATCTGTGTCCTCCCTTCTCTCTATACAAGTGTCCTTTCCCCTGTACATGCATCCTGCTTCCCTTTCCCTGTGGGGACACAGGGCAGATTGTATTGGGACTGATCCTAATGCTCTCATTGTCCTAACCATCTTCTGAAAGACCCTGAGGTGCAGGATTAAAATGCTGGTGGGGCCGTAGTCAGTCCATAGCAGAGAGCCGCAGGTCATCTCCGGAAGCTCTGGTTCTAGGACTAGCAAAATGGTGTGAGAAAGGAAGAAGGGCTGCGATAGGAACAACCGCCGACAGTTAAGGCCTGGGGGGCCCTGGGACCCACTGAAGGAGCAGCTGTATCCACAACAGGTCTTCTGTCACTGTAACTCAACATTTGGGATCATCCTGAGCCCACCCATGCCCATCCATGGTCTCGGTCCAGCTTGAGCAGAAGGGCAGTGATGTTTGTGGCATAGACAGAAATCACCAGAGAGAAGCTGGGTCCTCATTGTGGAGAGAAGGTGCCTTGGGAGGGAAGACCAAATGGGACAAGGTGAGGCAGTGCAATGGTGTCAGGCTGTTTCGAGGACGGTGGTGCTCCCAGACCCTCACAAAGAGCAAGCACGGCCTTCTTCAGAACCTTTGCCACATGCGCATGTATGTCTACATGTGAGTGATACTTGCTAAGTATTTTCATGTGTCTTGGTGTGTGCATGGACACATATACCTGTATTGCACACACCTCCATCTACATGTGTGCTGGGAGTGTTTGTGCCCGAATGTATGCATGTGGATTTGTGTGCATATGCACACATGTCTTTATGCATACTAGATGTGTTTGCATGTGTGTGAACATGGATGTATGTACTTTGTACACATGTGTGTCTGTATGCATGCTGGCCATGTTTGCAAGTGCCTGTGGTATGTGCATGTGTGTTGACATATATGTATTGTACACATGAGTCTGCATGCACACTGCGGGTGTGCATGAGTATGTACAGTACAAGCGGCTGCATGCTGGATGACGTAAGGAAAGGGCCTGCACTTGGAGCCAGCTTGGATTCAGGCTTCAAGCCCAATGCCAATGCAGTGGCCCTGGAATACCCGGCACCCAGGGGCTGGTCCCTCTTCCAGGGTTTCCGTACCCTTGTGTAGGGGCTGCTTATTTTCCTCCAGAAAGCTACCTGCTCTATGGTAACAGACACAATGAGGTTTTGAGGCGATGAGGTATTTGCTGAGCAGAAGTAAAACAGATCATTCTAGGGAGTCCCCCACCCCAACCCTCCATGCCATTCCCACGGTGACTCTGAGCAGGTGGTAGCATTGCCCCCTTGTGTGTCTTAGCTGGAGGGTAGACTGGGAGCTTGGCTCAGTCTCTTTGCAGTTGTGTGACTCTGGACAGGGTCAACTTCTCTGGACTCCAGTGGCCTCAGATGTGGAATGGGAACATCAATATCTTTAAAGGCTTCTTTCATGATGTTTGGTGAGATAAAGTAACGAAGTGAGGAAAGAGGCTTACCACGGGTGTGCAGGCCTCTCTTACCCTTCCTGCTTATAGAACAAGTGGCCACAGAACTAGAGAGAGAAAGACTGAGAGGGAAAGGAGGGGCGACAAGGGACATTGTTGTCTCACTCACCCTCAGCTTGTCCCCAGTCCAGAACTTTGTTCAGTTGTCTCTTCCCTGGCTGACTTAACTGAGACCCATCAGAGACAGAGGCTGGTGGTGGGATTAACATCAAGTTTTCTTTTTCATGTCCAGTGACTCAAAACCAGTGAAACTCCAGACTAGAACTGAGAAGACAGGATGACCAGACCCTTTCTGAAGTTTGTAGAAGTTGAAACTCCATGGCCTACAGAACCTCCCCTCCCCATAGGCATGCTGGGAAGGCACCTAGTGGGGGGCATGTCCCCACTCCCTCTCAGTCCTTGACATACTTCCCCAGGTACTCACTGAGCCCAAGGAACGTAGTAGACACAGCCCTGTTCTCAGCCCGGGGACCTGACCCTCAGTGACAGCAACTCAGACAAGACAAAAGGAAAGAAGTGCCAGGTTCCCTCACTTCCTTTGCTTGTTACTAATTTTCAAGTGAGGGACAGGACAGGATCCCGATGGCCTGAGACCCCCCCCCCCCCAGATTTCTAAAGCCCTTCTTCAGTCTGGGACTTGGAATCAGAAGTTAACCAAGTCATGATCTAGACCCAGCTCCTGGCAAGGAGAGTCTGTCACCAACCTCAGAGCCATGGTCACCCCAAAGACAAAGCCATGGCCTTTGCTTGTCAAGCTGTTTCCATGTTTGGGGCAAAGCATGACAAAATGCACTCACAGATCTTCAGGCACCCTGTCCCTGACTTGGGCTCATCCTTGGCTTCCAGTTCTGTCCTTGAGGAATTCAGTTTCGTTCAAATCTGGGCAGATCAGTTCATTGGTGATCTCTCTCTTGTTGGTGTCTATCCACTCCCCATAGCCAAATTCCTTACCCCACCACTCTGATCAACCTTTACAGGATGGTCTATCAGACACTCCCATCTCCTAACCCCTATCTGCAATGGCAGATATGCCCAGCCTGTGCTTACTCTTGAGTTAGACACCTTTCTTTCCTGTTATTCTGGCCTTGACAGCCATTGGGAGAGTCCTCGGTCATCCCCCTTACCATTCTGACATGTCAGAGCATATGCCTTAATAGATGATGAGATCAAGCAGAAATAAGTATCTGCTCCGTGTGCTGGGACACACAGATGTTCACCCATATGTGTTACAATCTGCCAGCTGTTTTGAAGAGCAATTGTTCTTAGAGCAAAGGTTATCATCAGGCCAGGGGAATGTGAGATGGAGGCTATCTGAACACCCTTTGGGAGAAGAATCTGGGTCACGTATTGAAGCCTCAGCAGCTCCAGGCACTGCCCATCCGTGGAGAAGGGCAGACACTGCTCTGTTGATGGCTTCCAATGCTGGCTGCATCATCAGAGAGGGGCTGGATGAGCGTGTGCTGACTTTTAGCCCTGAAAGTCTCCTATGGCCAAGGAGTCTAAAGGCAGTGTCGGCCCCTGGAGTTCTTCTGGCTTCCTGTGGAAAGGAAGTAGGTGTGTTTAGGTTCTCTCCAAGTAGAAGCTTCCCTCCATGGGCTACATGGACTAAAAGACGTAACGCCAGTGAATCCCCAGTGTTTGGGGGCTTGGAAACCCTCCCGATCTGATCCACTTTTACCATCTGATAACCGGGAACTGAACCATTGGGCTACATCGCTAACCTCATGCCAGCTCTCCAAGTGGGAGTCAAGCCATTGTTAGAGCCTAGCGCTGGGAAGGAGAGAGATTCCATGCCAGCCTAGAGTCCCAGAAGGGCTGCAGCGGCGAGAGACAGAAAGGGCTGAGTAGTTGCTTTTCACAGATATTTCTTAGGGTTGAGAGAACACCTTCTACAGTTCTTATCGTAAGAGTAGGGGAAAAATAAGCTGGGGCTCAGACGTGAACACAATTTTAAAAATAAGTTTAATGCCAATATGTTTAATGCCCGCCCCGTGGGGAACTTGAGCCCATAAGTCAGAAGCACAATAGCTTTTCTTGTTGTGAATGAGTGTGAAGTGCCAGCAGAGGAAATAGGAAGCCCCCAATGCAGGCTGAATGGACCTGTGAACAGGGCTAATAAAAGTTGTCCTGGATTTCCGTTACCACCAGGTGTTTCCGCGAGGACTTCCATTCATTCAGTGCCCGGGGGATGGCCAATCCTGCCAAACCTTCCCCACACCAACCCCCCAGCCCTTTGCTCTGTGCCCCTGCCCTCACCCCAGCCACAGGAGACCATTCATGTCTGGCAGGCTCCCTGGCCTCTGAGATGGACATGATCTGATCCCTTGAAACTCCAGATCCATAGAATTTGTCCTAGAGTACAAGGGATGGCCAGGAGTGGAAGAGGGGACAATGTGATGACAAGACACCCCACCCCAAACACACACACACACCAAGATCTGATATCCCCTCAGTTTCTATAGAACAATCATGGAGATGGGTGGCCACAAACTCTGCATGACAGACACCAGGGCCAGGAGCTTCAGCAGTAGGGAGGAGTGGGGTTACAATCTGAAAAGGATCATCCATCCTATGTGAGTGCTGGGACCCATCAACTCAAGGACGTATCCCAGCACCCTGAGTGAATATATTGAAGTCCGTCTCTGCCTTGTTCTATAGTGTATCTCATGTCGTCAAACCCATCTTCCACTTCCCAGAAAGGAAGCTGGCCATGGCCTGATCCCCCGGGGGCATTCCATCATCAAAAAATGAACGCGGTGACAGAGATGGGCGGTGGTGGTGCACGCCTTTAATCCCAGCACTCGGGGAGACAGGCGGGATCTCTGTGAGTTCGAGGCCAGCCTGGTATACACACACACACAGAGAGAGAGAGAGAGAGAGAGAGAGAGAGAGAGAGAGAGAGAGAGAGAGGAGAGAGAGAACCAGGACAAGCTGCAAAGCTACAGAGAAACCCTATCTCAAAAACAAACAATAAAACAAAAACCCATCTAATAATCTGCGAGATCGGTCTGATCAGAGCACACAAGAGGCCCTCACTTCAGATGCTCATATGGACAAGCAGAGGAGTCTAGTTGGTTTGGTGTCTGACCACAGGGAGTGGTGGGGACCAGCACGAACATAGCCCACCACCCTGTCTACAGCTGTCCAAGGTCCAAGGTCAGTGTGTCACACTATAACGTGGACCACAGAACACAAACCTATCTGTCACATGCTAAGAGCTTTCTTGATGGAGTCTAGGCAGTCACTGGAATGAGATGTCAGAGTTGTGTGTTAACCGTCTTAGTGGAAAATGTGCAGCTATGTAGCCCTAGCCAGGGAGAGCACTATCGTTCTGAAGTGGGAGAAGTCGTCCTCTCGAGGACAGGAAGAACGGCATGACTTCCTTGGCTCTGTACAGGGGAGGTGGTTCTGTCAGTCAAGTTCCTCACTGCTGTTGCCAGATACCTGATAAGAAGTCACTTAAGGGGGGAAGGGTTCTTTTTTGGCTCACACCTCGAGGGGAAACAGTTCACTGTGAGGGCAGAAGGGTGAGGGAGCTGTCTACACCGTATCTGCAGTCAGGAAGCAACGAGAGAAGCAGGGCCAGGTCTAGACACCTCAAGGCCGGCCTCCCAGTGACCTACTTCCTCCAGTGAGGTCCTTCTCAAGCGTTTAAACACACGTGCCTATGGGGTGGGGGGGCACTTCACATCCAAACTGCAGCAACAGATCACCTGCCGCACACACGCACACACTTACTAAACTAACAGGAGATCTTGGGCCAGCCGAGATCAGCCCTCATCGCCACTGCGGCAGGTGAGGAAGTTTGCTGAGTCCCACTGTTTCTTCTCAGCTTCTTCTGGCTCTGCCTTTGCGATAGGCCAGGTTGCCAAATGACCAGTGTTTACCAAGAGCTTGCCGGGAGCAGAAGGCTCTCCAAGGGAGACTGTTCAGAACTCAGGTCCTGACAGTGGACGGTCCGTCAATGTGTCTTCCTCCGTTACCTCAGGCCAGAGTGCCACTGACTCCCATGGGAATGAGTCTTCAGGTCCCTAGGCCACAGTGACAAGGAGAGCAGTAACAGGTGACATGACACCCAGGATAAACAGTTTTGTGCTGAACACTGAGCTGGCTTTCATCGTGTCTCATGTTTCATTTCTGGCCTGACAGCGAAGGATGTATGAAGGCAGACACCCAAGGTGAAGACCTGGTATCTGAGGGCTCCTAGAAACCCACGAGGTGCCAGGAACCTAGTAACTGATAAGGGGCAGAGGTCATCTTTGTCTTTGGGACCTGAGGAGGAAGATTTGCAAAGCACTCTGGACCAGTATTGACTGAGAAGATGACGCGAGCTTCTCAGCATTGGGGATGTTTGCTGGGCTCTGAGACACTACCAGGTGTCTTTTGCTTTTCCAACCAGAAACACGGGGTACTAGGTCCTCCTCTAACTCTGGAGAGCCAAATGGGCTCATGGGCTCAGCTAGAACCCTAAGATGATGATAAGAATTCTTTGCACATTATGCTTGGGGAGCAACAGGCCGAAGTTAACGAGAAGCTGAGTAGGAAGTAATTGCCCCGGTGATTCCCCAAATCTTCAGTTAAAACACAGATGGGAAGACATTCATTGGCTTCATACGGGTCTTCCCTGTCTTCCCTGTGGTCCCCAAGTTTCCTCACCTACCAAGTGGGGGTATTAAACTAGATGCTTGAGGGATTCTGCCCAATGTATTGTTGACTGCTTCTGAGCTGTCTCTGGGCCCCTTTGGGAGCTGCTTGCTATCCCTTCCGAAAGTGCAGCGGAGGCCACTCTGATGCTGCCCTCCCTGTGTCCACAAGAATTGGAGACCAAGAAAGAGCAGGAGGCAGGGGACTGCCTCCAAGTAAGTAGTACCTTCTATGTCTGCTTCCTCTCCAAACCCTGTCACACCCTGGAAGCAGGATCCTGATGCAGAAAAGTCGCTCCCAGAAGCTTCCAGACCCTTCCTCCTCAACTGGCCCTAACCCATGGTCAGGGAGCACTCCTTCAGCCTCAGATCTGCCAACTCTGAGTTGCAAGGTTGACAGAGAAGAAGTGGAGGTTTGAGGGCTCTGGTTGGGTGGAGGAGAAACACTGAAGAAGCTTCCAAACTTACTTTATGGTGGGAGGAGGCACGTAGACGGGCAAAGGTCAGCTTTGTCTTCGCACCCACCAGCGTCCACCCCACTCCTATCTGCCTTTCTTTCTCCCAAGCTGCTGCTCTCTGACGTCATCCCTGCTGCTAAGCACCTTGTTTATCATCTCTACATTGTTCCATTTCTGCAGCTCTCGCTGGAGATTCCACAAAGCAGGCTCTGGTCTGTCTTCTCTATCATGGTGTGTCCCACAGGTAGAAGAAGAAGGGTGATAGTTGGTGTTCTGAGAATGGAGAGATGGAGCCCGGGTATCACTGTGCCCAGGTCAAAGTTCAAGGAAAGGGCAACACAAAGAGGTTAAGTTATCTGTTTATGACACGGATAGAAGCAGGGGCCCAACCCCAGGTCTTGGGAACCTCGGTTACTTTATAGAGGACATGCCTCATGGGCCTTTGAAAGCAGTGTCAAGCGCCTCAAGAGTCTTCCTTTGGAATTCTGTTCTCTTGTGAACAGCCCTGTACCCTCCCCCCCCCCTCTTCAACTTGCCTTTCCTCCCTTCTGTTAAACAATAGGAGTCCCTTGCAGGTCACTGAAAGGCCACGGGTTATCTTATCTTTGCATCAGGTCAGCAGGGCTCCCTGGGGAAGGTCTGCAGCTACCTCTTGCTCTATCAGAGCAGCCTGGCCAGCCAAGGGGGGCACCCTGCCCCCGCCAACTTGACCCCATCCAAGGCAGGGATTAAAATGGTTAGGGCCCTGTGGCCATCTTTAATTACCAAGAGTGGGAATGGGAGATTTTGGGAGTCCCCTCTCCCAAAAGATTCACTCTCTTCTGAAGATGAAAACGCTATTTTACATGGAGTGGGCGCGAACACGAAATGGAACAAAACATTCCAAGGTACCAGAGTGGACCATGCATGGCTGGATCTCCGTAAGAGACACCTACCATCAATAACAAATGTGAGAGGTGGTAGCAATAATCACAGATTAATACTGTGGTCCTCATGGAGGGAAATGTGCCAGCCATGTTCCAGGTCAGAAGCACATCTTCCCCTCAGGCAGAGCAGAAGAGGGGGAGCAGCTACGGCCTCAGCACTGAACACTTGGCTGTGATCCAAAGATGCTATCCTTGGTGGGCCTGGCAGAAGAAGGCTTGTGGTTGTGGTTTCCCAGCTGTGTAACCCCAGGCAAGTTCTACAAGCCCACCATCCCCCAAATTCTTCTTTTGCAAAATAGAGGAGGGAGGTTCCCAAGGGGAGTCTTTGTGAACTGGGCTTAGAAACACTGGAAACCTTAGACAGATGGAGGAGGGGAAAGGGCGTGAGGGTGGAAACCTGGACAGGGAGAGGGTGGTGAGCATCCCTGTCCATCAGAAGCAGGCTGAGGGAGACAGGTCAGGGCTCTTGGGTGCCAGTTGAGATAAACTTTTGGGCTGAGGTTTATGACCAGGGAGGCCATCTGCCCTGAGCCTTTTGACTTGACTTAGAAGTAGTCTCATGATGTCAGAGGGTTGTCTTGTGGATTCTAGGAAGCAGCAATAGCGGGCAAACAAGTAAAGAGCCCAGCAGTATAGCATGTTCTTGTGTGCCTTTCTATAGGTCTGTGTGACTCAGACACGAACATGGACCATGGAGGAGTGTGTGTGTGTATGTGCGTGTGCGTGTGTATGTGCATGTGTGTGTGCGTGTGTATGTGCATGTGTGTGTGTGCGTGTGTATGTGCATGTGTGTGTGTGCATGTGTGTGTGTATGTGTGTTTCTTCTATTCCCATCATACTGCTAAAGCCAAAGAGAACAAGGACAGACAAATAAGATCTCTAGAAAGCTCTTCCCTGAGATTGCAAAGAGCAGCAATGAGAAGCGATGCAGGGGTTGGAATTGATCTGGGGTTGGAAGAGACGTAGTCTGGCCTGGGCCCGTGAGAGCTGGCCACCAGAAGCCAGCATGGCAGGGAAACCATGCAGAACTCCTCGCTCAGGACCCAAGAACCCCTGATCCTCTGCTGGATCCAAAACATCTGTGCAAAACAAAACAAAAAACCAAAAACAAACAAACCCCAAAACAAAAAACCTCATGAGCTTTCAAAACATTACACTGTCTCCTATCGAGGGGATCCAAGACAGTGTGTGAACTGGTACAGAAGTAACCGGGGCCACACCAGGTCCCCATGAGGTAGAAGAGATACCAATGTTGAGTTTGATTGGCCACAGCTAAGAAGGGGAAGGGTGGGGTCTTTGACGAGCTGTGAAAGCAAGAACAAATGAACAAGTGCCTAGAACACTGGTCTTCAACCTTCCAAATGCTGCAACCCTTTAATATAGTTCCTCATGTTGTGGTGACCCCCAACCATGAAATTATTTTCATTTCTACTTCATGACTGTAATTTTGCTACTTTTTTTGAGACAGAGTTTCTCTGTAGCTTTAGGGACCTGTCCTGGAACTAGCTCTTGTAGACTAGGCTGGCCTCAAACTCACAGAGATCCGCCTGTCTCTGCCTCCTGAGTGCTGGGACTAAAGGCATGCACTACCACCACCCAACTAATTTTGCTACTGTTATGAGTCGTAATGTAAATACATTCCCATGGTCGTATGTGGCCCCTGAGAAGGCAGGGCATGACCCATGTGTTGAAAATCACTGTTTTAGACAGAATTGTGTGTTATGTACTTTGTCTCAGGCTAGAAGCTACTTGGCTGTGTCTTCCCAGACACAAAATAGCAGTCACAATTTTGGAGCCAGAGTCCAGAAAATCGACTGTTGGAGAGTGGCTTGCCTCCAGTTCCTTGGCTAGGGTTTATCTTCATTATTCTCTATGTAGTCACTTTGTTTTGTGGCAGTGGGGATTGAACCCAGGGCCTCACACTCATCAGGTAAATGTTTTACCACTGAGCTAAACTCCCAGCCAACCCCCATGATTTTACTTTGTTGGGAAATCAGGAATGTGGATTTTTTTTAATCTTTAAAAACTTCAAATCTAGGCAGGACTGTGGTGATGCAGGCTTTTAATCCCAGCACTGGAGAGGCAGAGGCAGGAGGATTTCTGTGAGTCTAAGGTCTGTGTGGTCTATGGAGTGAATTCCAGGACAGCCAGGGCTACACAAAGAAACCTAGTATTAATAAATAGACCAAAAAATCAACCAAATCAAATCAAAAAAACCTTCAGATCAACAGAAAGATTCCCAACAGCAGATAGTCCAATATCAACAAAGCAATGATATTTTACTAGGTTTAAAAGTTGCCTGCTAGGTCAAAAACTGGCAAGCAAGGCAGATACTTGTCCCTCCTGTTGGAAACTTTGACGGGCGAAGAAGCATCCCAGGGAAGGAGAGCTGGGCTGGCGGCAGTCAGGGCACTCCTGGGGGTTAGGTTTCTTGTATGTAGTGTGAGATCAATTGTTGGACTGGGGTGTGAGGTGTAGGATGGATAAGGGGATTCTCTGAGCATGGGCACGGGTTGAGGTTGCATAGAGTCAGGACCATTCTGCATCCCATAAAGTGCTGTGGAGACGGGAATTATTCTGGGTTTTAGGTTCATGGATTACTGTTTATAACCTAAGACATCTTCTGTTCAAAGTCATCCTTCTTGAGCTCAGCTTCTCCCCAGCTTTCCCTGGGTGGCTAGAATGGTGGAGGAGCCAAGCAGGTCACTGGTTCAGGTGGGGCCTTGCTGGCGGGCAGGGATTACAGGTAACACCCAGCCAGCTACCCGCACCCCACTTGGTTGAGGGGCAGGTGGAATAGGGCTGGCAATTGCTGACATGGGTACTCCCTGAGTGACTCCTGGGCAGCCTTGTCAGGCCTCTCTGGGGCTGAAAGGCCAGCAACTCCCAGGGCATTCTCTCACTGCTGGCGGCAGTGTGGTATGAGAGGAAGCCGCTAAGCACGCAGAACTCAGTTCTCTGTTTATCCCGTCTCTCGTTTGTTCTGTGGCAGTGAGTCACACCCTCCATCCCTTCCAAGCCTTAGTTTGGGGCCTGGAATTATTTCTAAGATCCTTGCTAATTTCTTTTTAATTCGTTTTTGTTTGAATAAAACTAGATTTATTCATTGTATGTGCATGAGTGTTTGCCCTGCACGTATGTATGTGTACTGAAGAGGGCTTTGGAGCTCCTGAACAGGAGATGTGAGTCTCTACCTGGGTACTGGGAACTGAATCCAGGTCTTCTGCAAGATCAGCTGATGCTCTGGACCACTGAGCCCATCCTTCTGCCCCTACCCCATGCTAATTCTTAAAACTCCCTGCCAACCTGTGCCTTGGGCTATGAGCATCAACTTGGACATAGCGGCTCTCATGTCTGGAGGGTGTATGTACAGGTCGAAGCACTATGGGTGAACCTGCCCAACGCATGCTGTGGCTGACTCTCTGGGTGACCACCTGCAGGACTATGTGACCTTTGCCCCTCTATTTCAGAATTTACAGCTAAACACAAGTTCTTCCCAACCCTTTAGCCATGATGAGAATTGAATCCAGGGTTTCTGGCATAAGAGGCAAGCTCCCTAACCACTGAGCTACATCTCTAGAGGCTTGCAACTTCCCTTGGATCCCATTAAGTGGCGTCGAGAACCTGACTGTCCCAGAATAGTCCTTCCTATGTCCAGAGTATCCATCCAGGTCCTCTCTCCTTGAAGGCCATCTCTATCCTGCTGTATTTTCCTAAACTGAGATTCAGGCCCCAGAGAAAGGGATGGGGACCCCGCCAGCTAGATCTCCTTGAAGACTGGTGCCTGCCCCACGTACTTCCCCTAAGATATAACACATGCCCTGCTTACAATGAACCCCACCTTTTACAGCCAGTTATGGGTCCTGTGGCCCAGAGGTTAGATGCTGAGGTGAAGAATCTGGGTTTGGTAAGACTGCCTAGGACTTGACAGGCCAAGACACATGGGCAATAGATTGTGCTACCTCACTAAAGGATGAGGTCACTGTGATGAGTTGGTACCCAAGCAGGTTGGTAGCTGGGTGAGTATAGG